GTGTGTGTGTGTGTGAATACGCAAGTGTCACAATGTGTATGGGATGAACGTGTGCAAGTGTGTGAATGTAAACAAGAATCTGTGTGTGCAAGTATGTCAATGTGAACGAGTGTGTGCAGTATGTGACTTATGGAGTGTGTGGGAATATGTGTAGGCTGTATTGGCATGTGTGTGCTTGATCTGTGAGAATGAATGAGGGGGAGGGAGTTGAGTGTGGATGGATGTAAGTGTGGGAATGTACAGGATGTGTGTGGGGTGAGTGTGGAGGGGTGTGAGCGTGTGTGGGAGCATGTAGGATTTGTGTGTGGGGGGTGAATGTGGGGGTGTGAGAGTGTGTGGGAGCATGTAGGATGTGTGTGGGTGCGTGTGGGGGGTGAGTGTCTGTGGGGCATCTAGGATGTGTGTGTGGGTGTGGGGGGTGTGAGAGTGTGTGGGAGCGTGTAGGATGTGTGTGTGTGGGTGAGTGTGGGGGGTGTGAGTGTGTTTGGGAGCGTGTAGGATGTGTGTGGGGGATGAGTGTGGGGCTGTGAGTGTGTATGGGGTGTGTAGGATATGTGTGTGGGGTAAGTGTGGGGGGTGTGAACGTGTTTGGGAGTGTGTAGGATGTGTGTGTGGGGTGAGTGTGGGGGCTGTATGTGTGGGAGCGTGTAGGGTGTGTGTGTGGGGCGAGTGTAGGGGATGTGAGTGTCTATAGGGCGTCTAGAATGTGTGTGTGAGGTGACTGTGTGTGGCAGCATGTAGGATGTGTGTGTGTGTGAGGTCTGCAGGGCGAGGGGGGCAGGGATTGGGAAGGGGCTGTGGTTAGAGTCCTGGTAGATAATGCGATGACAGAAGTGGTTCATCCTTGCGGCCGCTTCACCTCTCATGCCCGGCTCTGACCTCTTGCTTTCACCATTTCCTGTGCTGGGTAAGTGCCCGGGAGGCCATCTTCCAAATGAATGCAGGGATGTTCTCTGTGCCCTCTTGGGGGGCTCAGGACCCTGGCACCACCTTTAAGAACCTGATTGACAGGGCCAAAGCAATAGTGCAGCGGGCAGGGTGTTTGCCTTGTATGCAGTTGACCCGGGTTCAATCTCTGGCATCCCATATCCCCTGAGCCTGCCAGGAGAGACCCCTCAGCGCAGAGCCAGGAGAAATCCCTGAGCACCAATGGGTGGGGGACCCCAAACTGAAAAAGAAACATTGAATTTGCGGAGGCCAAGGGTCCCGTCTTTCCAGAGCAGGTCTTGGGGAGAGTGAAGTACCAACACACAGTCCTGACAGATCTTTCTATTGGCCGAGCCCCTGTGAGCCAGACTCAGCGGGGACTGGAGCCAGTACCTCCCAGGCTTTGTGGGCTCTGGTCCCCTCCTGGGATAGCTCCCTCCTCTGACCTTTCGTGAGTACCATGCTATTCTGTTGGAAAGCATCTTCAAGGCCATCATGCCTATTTAGGGGAGGAGAGCGGACTCCAGGCAAGTGCAGTGCGGAGGGTCAATGTGGGGGAACGTGGGGCTCCTGTGTGATGGTCAGCCACACCCCAGGGAGGTCCAAGTCTCCAGTCCTGGTGAGCAGGACACCTTGACACTTGATGGTCTTGAGGGGCGAGACCACCTGGTATTTCCTGGCTCCCAGCAAACCCCAGTGCACCCCAACACAGCCTGCAGCGCCCCCAACCCCATCTCTCCAGCAAAATCAAACCTCCCCAGGGCTCCTCTCACAGCAACACCCCCCAGATGCTGGCCCTTTACCAAGAAGAGCCATGGCTCCCGGGGTCCCTATTTTTCTATGAAACGAGGTGAATCAGAGATGTGCCTGAGAGGTTTGTGAAGCAAGTTAATATTTGCCCAGAGTTCAGGAGGCTGTCTGGCATGTAGTAAGTGCCTCTGTAAAAGTTAAGGAAGATAAACAATCCCTGATCCACTCTTGGCTGATGAGGACACATCCATCCCGTGGGGCGGTGCCATGCCACTGCACACAGTGGGCAACGCTTATAGAAGCCAGGAGCCAGGGCTTGGGGGGCATCCCGGTGAGCTGGGGCATGGGCCAAGACTCAATCTTTCTCCTCTGTGTGCCAGGCAACCCAGAGAGGTATCTGCAAGTGCTCGGCTAGTTTTCTGCTGGGGAGAGAGAGAGTCACTTGGCTTTCCCGCGTCCATTCCACCAGCCAGCCTGCCATTCTGGGCATGTGGCCGATGTAGAGTCGAGGCTGGTATGGCATGAAATATGTCCCCCAAGTGTCCTTGCAGGTGTGCCACAGTCTGTCACCTCCCATCATCCCTCCAGGGAGAAGGCACGTCCCGGGCCCCTCAGCCTGCAATGCTTTGCTCAGCGGTAGCATACATGTCTCAGGGCTGGCCCTGAGGGAGCCTGAGGCCTGAGTCTTTCATCAGAGCCCTGGGCCTGGCTTGGCAGGTGCCCTGAGCCCCAGGGGAGGACCTTAAGGATCAAATGGTCCAGGTCAACAACTTGGGGTGGACTTTGGGGGACCTTAAGGATCCAAGGCAAGTGCTATTCTACGGAAGATTGTGTGAGGCTGACCAACTCCCAGGTTTTAGCTAACCCTCCATTTTTCCTTCTCTGCAAAATGGACACAACTACCTACTTATTATGAAATCTGCTTTTTATAGATTTTTGATTGGTCTTGGGACCACATTGGGAGTGCTTAGAGCTTACTCCTGGCTCTATGCTCAGGGAGCACTCCTGGGTGGGGCTCAGGGGACCCTATGGAATGCTGGGGATCCAACCCCATTGGCCATATACAAGGCAAGCCCCCTACCCCCATACTATGCTTACTGTCCAGCTCCGTTTTTATGAGCCACACTGTCATGGTCTGGATGCTGGGGTCACCCATGGCAGGGCTCAGCCCAGGAGGCTGACAGTGCTTGGGCCACTAGGGCCAATTCTGGCAGTGCTGGGCATGGGGGTGGGGCGTGTGGTGCTGGGAATCAGAGTCAGGGCCTTGCCCAGGAGAGGCCTGTGCTCTACCACCGGCTCCACCTCCCTCGCCCCAAGGTTAAGTTCAAACAGAGACAGTGCAGTGTGGCTGGCCAGTTACACTCCTTGGGTCACACTCTAGTTCGGTAGTGGGACATCGGGTACCTACTCATCTGTAAAATAGAGATAACCAGAGTTTCCACCTCACAATGGCAGGGGGCTTAAGTGAGTGAATACCTGAAAGCACTTACATGTCACCTGGCATTTGAGGTGGCATTGCTTAGTGCCAGGCTATGCAAATCCTTTTACATGGAGAATGCTAGTGCATGATGTGCCAATTATTGACTCAGTGGTGGGGCACTGAAGTCACACAGCTGGAAGGGGTTTGTTGTTTGTGGCCACACCCGGCTGGGCTGAGGCTTACTCCTGGCTCAGTGAGCACTTCTGGTGGGACTCAGGGAATATATGAGGTGCCGGGGACCAAATCCAGGTTGACTGCATGCAAGGCAAATGCCTTACCTCCTGTACTATATCACACTGACCCCCAAATTTTGGTGTTTTGTTTTTGTGCTATACCTAAGTGCTCAGGGATTACTTGTGGTGGTGCTCTGGGAACTGCATGGGGTGCCAGGGACCAAACCTGGGTTGACCACATTCAAGGCAAGCATCCTACCCACTGTACTATTGCTCCAGCCCCTTGTTTTTTAAATTTATTTTTATTTATTTTTGCTTTTTGGGTCACACCCGGCGATGCACAGGGGTTACTCCTGGCTCTGCACTCAGAAGTCACTCCTGGCAGTGCTCAGAGGACCACATGGGATGCTGGGAATCGAACCCGGGTCAGCCGCGTGTAAGGCAAACACCCTACCCACTGTCCTATCTCTCCAGCCCTTAAATTGCTGGAGCGATAGCACAGCGGTAGGGCGTTTGCCTTGCACGCAGCCAACATGGCCGACCTGAGTTCGATTCCTTCGCCCCTCTTGGAGAGCCCGGCAAGCTACTGAGAGTATCTTACCCGCACGGCAGAGCCTGGCAAGCTCCCTGTGACGTATTCGATATGCCAAACACAGTAACAACAAAGTCTCCAATGGAGATGTTACTGGGCTCGCTCGAGCAATCAATGATCAACGGGAGGGCCTTTACTTTACTTACTTTTACTCAGTGATGCTGAGGAATCACTCCTAATAGTGTTCAGGAACCTATTTGTGTTGCTGGGGATCCTGATGGATTGGGTCATGTGCAAGGCACCTGGTTTAATCCCTGGACTATCTCTCTGGCCCAAAAGCTCTGGAATTGGGAGCAGCAGTAACAGCACTCAGTAGTGTGTGACTCTGTAAAACTTACACTCCCTCTCTGTGTCTTGCCCCAGGACAGTCAGTAGTATTACCTGCCTCATGAGGTGAGGTATAAAGGAGTTGATGGATGTCAGGCACTAATACACAACAAGCACTAGGTATTATCACTAGCACGTGGCCATCATTTTATGATTGCATTTACTTTATTCATATCATCATGGAGGGGAGGCAAGAAAACTCGTACACTAGCACTGAACATGAACCACCTGATGCGATTCCAGGGCAAGCATCAACCTCCCAGGTTTGGTGAAGGAAAGTGAGCTGACCGAGGGGGCGTCCTGCGTGTTGGAGACCCCCAAGGGCGGGCATGTGCAATGCTGAGGGCAGAAAGGAAAGACCCAGGGACTGAGCCAAGATCTGCCACATGCCTAGCTTGGGGGGCTCCATCCCCCCCCACCCCACCGCCCTGCAGAGGGGCCTTTCTGTCCCTCTCAATCCTGGCTGAGGCCCAGAGAGGTGGGCTGTTGGAATGCTGGGAGCTTGGATGTGGCCGAGCTGGATTCAGATGCAGTTGTCCGCTCACATTCTGTTTACACAGGTGCTGAGGCGCAGCCGTGCCCAGACTCATTCGAGCCAGGGGAAACAAAGTCTGTTTCTATAAAACCCAAGAGAGAGAAAGAAGGGGAGGCGGGTGGCCTTCCATCCCTGAGTCTGGGAGGCCACAGGCAGACTCCCAGATTCGGGGTGACTCACTCACAGAGAGAAAGACACTCAGCACCCACAGGGGTTGTTGTTACCCAGAAATCTTTATTACAAAAATATTTTGCAAGCCAAAAAGTTTAAGTTGCAACTATATACAAAAAGGGGGCCTGTTTCCTTGCCAGCAGTCTTAAAATAAACTCCCCAAACCACGCTTCTTCTGCACTATTGACACGACCTCTTCCTTTTCCTGGGGTTCCATAGACATGGAACGGGGACCGCCAGGCCACCAGGCTGGAGGGAAGCGGCACCACTTCCTTGACCCCGACTACTGACTCCCTTTCCCAAGCCAAAGGAAATCCAGTCGGTGCCCGAGAGCCCTCTGACCAGCCTGGGAGCGGGTCTGCATGTGTGGGAGAAGAGAGCAGTGCTGAGTGCACTCTCTGGGTCAGGGGAGAGACGCAGACCCACAAGCCAACAAGCTTCTGGAGTTTGGAAATAACCCAAGCCAGGTGGCTGGGTCCTGTGCTCCCAGATGTCACAGAGAAAGCCTGACTCAGCGAGCCAGGGCTGCCCACATGGCCTGTTGGCATGACGCATTCCTGGATGCCATCACATCAAATGCCAAATCACTCCCACGTGGTATGTGTGTGTGTGTGAGTGTATACGTGTGCGTGTCTGTCTGTGTATGTGTCTGAATGTGTGTGTGTGTCTGTGTGTGTCTATGTGTATGTGGGTCTGTGCGAATGTATGTATGTGTATGTATGTGTATGTGTGTGTCTGTGTGTTTCTGTGTGTCAATGTGTCTGTATGGTGTGTCCATGTGTCTATGTGTCTGTGTGTGTGTGTATATGTCTGTGTGTCTGTGTATGTGTTTGTATGTGTGTGTCTATGTGTGCCTGTGTGTACGTGTGTGTCTGCGCCTGTGTGTCTGTGCACGCTGAGCTTCTCAAGTTCACCTGCAAAGCTGGTCGGGAAGGTTGTGAGGGTTTCTGGTTCTAAGCCGGGGTTGCCCTGGACGCCTATGCCAGACTCAGGGGTCAGAGAAGATTAGTGCCTCAACCTACGAGCTGACGATGACACGTGAAGACTGAATAAACGAGGCGTGCCACGTGGGCTTGCCCCAGGGGGGCGCTGAACAGCCCTCCACTGTGAGTTGGAAGTGTGGCGGGGTCTGAGGGTCCAGCCAATGCCCAACCTCCTGAGGCAGAGGGACAGAAGGAGGACCGGTTGGGGCTTCCTGGCTGCTCAGTGCTTCTGACTATGTAGGACGGATTCCAGTTTGATCCTAAAAGGGTTTGAAAGGAGCAGCGGGAGAAGTCTCCTGCAGGGGGTCAGTTGGGAGCTGGGCATTTGAGGGAAGGTCACTGAAGACGGGGCGGAGGGGTCCAAGTGGGGAAGAGACGAGCAGCACTTTCAAACCCTGTTTGGCCCTAAAGTGCTGAGAGGTGGTGGGAAGACACTGGGGTCCCCTTTCTCTGGATGAGAGGCCGGCAGACGTGCGGGAACAGCAGCCCGGGGAGAGCGCGGGGGCTAGGCGCGGGGAAGAACCACGCTGGGGGTCACAGGAGGCAGCGGGGCAGCCACAAGGCTTGGCGGAGATTTGGCCGACGGTCCTGGAGCTCAGCACTAAGGCCCCCCTGGCACCTTCCTCCCCCTCCTCAGGGATCTGGAGGAGTCCAGTTTCTGCTGGAAGAAAAGATCCTTCCAGGGCAACCAACGGTTAAACCTTAGACTGCACAAGACCCGACCATGTACTTCAACACATGACAAAGAGCCAAGAGAACGTTGCTGTTGTTTTAAGAAAAAGAAAGAAAAAAAAACAAAAAGAAAAAAAAAACAAACGAAAACGAAACATCACAGATCAAATTTTCTAACACCTCAGTTTCAAGATTGCACGTCTCACGTTTGTCAATAATTTACAGGCGGCGTCCACAGCGGGATGGTGCTGAGTTAGTGCGAGCTGGAGGAAGCAAGCTCAGGGCGAGAGAGGAGCTGGGGCCACGCGGAATCACAGTTGGGGTGACGGGTCCTCCAGGAGTCTCAGGGGGGGCCTCTGAGAGGATGAGGGGTGGGGCAGGAGGGAGGAGCCTTGGAGGTTTGCTCCTCCCCCAGGGTGCGTGGCTCCTCAGCCCAGGGACATTGGCAGCGATTTCTGTCACCAAGTCTCGGAGTGCAAATCCCATAGGCTTCGTCTCCAGCTTTCCCCAGAGGACAGGGCAGTCCGACGTAAAGGGAAAATGCTTCCCCCAGAGATGCATTTGTGTGGTGGTGGTCGGGGGGAGCGGATGGGAATTCTGCCCTCCAGGTCTTGGAAGATGAGACTGTGGCGCACAGGGAGGCCGATTCCTCAGACCGTGACCAAGGTCCGAGGTGGAGGGAGAAGCAGCACAAGGCTACTCAGTCCCCCCTCCCCAGGGCTCCGGCTGCCTCCCAGCTCAGGCCTCCGGCTGGTCTGGCAATGCTGGGGGGGTGAGGCTGCCCTGGACATGCCAGGTGGGCGGGGGACAGGCGAGAGCCACCCTCACCCTTGGGGTTCCAGGGCCTGCGCCCCCTGACCCTTGAGCGGGGGGGCAGTCCTTATCACGGCTGCCCGTGGTGGGCAGAGAGCCTGTGGGGACGGTGCCCGGAGCTGACCGTCCCACCCTTCACTTCCTCTGCACCTGGACGCTGGCGTACTCTGAGCAGGACGGCTCAGGCTTGGGCGCGGGCTGCTTGGTGCCCCGGTTGAGGTGGACCATGTCCAGGTCGGCGTAGGTGAGTGTGTCCTCGGGGCCGGACGCCGGGCCCGTCTGGATGCTGGCGTACTCCGTGTGGTTGTTGGGCTCGGCGGCCCGCGGGGCCGGCTTCTTCCCCTTGGGCAGGTTCAGGTCGGCGTAGGTGATGTCGTTGTTGGCGTCGTTGGTTTCCTGGATCTAAATGGGGGCCCCAAGACGTGGTCATTTGGAGGGTGCCCCCCCCAGCTGTCCACCCAGCCCACCAGCACTGAGTCAGGAGGCTCCATCTCCTTTAAAGGCTTTGCCCGACCCTCCGCGGGCACCCCTCACTGCCCTGCTTCCCTGCCACTCCCGCCAGGGGCCCATCCCATCTCGGGCACCTAACGGGCCCCAAGATCCTCACACAAGGCTGGGTTTATTCGTTCTTATTTTCCTTTTTGGCCTTTGGGCAACGCCTGGCTGTGCTCAGGGCTGACTCCTGGCTCTGTGCTCAGGAATTACTTCTGGTGGGCTCAGGGGACTGTATGGGATGCTGGGAGCGGAACCCGTGTGCAGGCATGGCAAATGCCTACCTGCTCTACTGGCCTAGGGTTCATTACTTTGAGACTGTCCTCGGCTTGGCCCAGGGTACTGCTCTGGGCTCCTTGGCCAGTGTTCCCCATGACAGCTCACCAACCCACGATTTTGTCTGTGTGGTAGCCTGAGGAGGGGCCGATCTCTCAGGGTAACGGTGTGTGTGTGTCGAGGGGGAGGGGGGTTCATTCATTTATTCTTTGATTTAACAATCATCCACCAGGCATGGATGAATCAGTGAAAGGCTGGTGGAGAAGACAACTGGAATGACTCCAGTCTCACCCAGGCACCCCCAGTTAGCAAGGGGCTGGAGTGGGGGAAGTGCTCCAGGTAGGAGGAGGCTGGGGTATCTCCCTCACTTTACCGAGGGACTTTGGGAGAGGCATGAAGTCTCTCGGCTCAGTTCCTCTCTCCAGCGTGGCCAATCACGGGATTTGCCATGGAGACTCAGACTGGCTGTCTGGACAAGCTCTTACAATGGAGTTTGGCACCATGCCTGGGCACACTTAAAACCTGTGAGCTGGTCTTACCCTTTGCCTGTTGCTTTAAACTTCCTCAACCAGAGCAGGCCAGCGGCTCAAAGGACTGAGTCACATACTTTGCATACGGGAACCCTGGGGTCGATCCTAGTCACCACACGGACCACCAAGCCATCTCTGGGTATGATCCTCTCCCCCAACTCCAACAACAAAAAGGCCAACTCCTTCCCCACCACAATGACAAATGATGTTCCTTTAGCATCACTTATCTGGCAACTACGCAGAAGACCCCAGGAAAGTGTATGGACAATGGGCACGCCATTGCTGCCATCTTGGTTATCCAGGCTTAGTGCCCACCCCCACCCCTTCCCCCCATCACAGCCTTGCTTGCTAAGATTTCTCGACTCCATTTGACAGGGAAAGAAAAAGAGACCCAGGGAGGTGAAATAATGTGATCAGAGTTGCCTCGCTGGAAAGGACCCCTCCAGTGGTTTGACCACACGGCCCCTCTGTCCAGAAGCCTGCACTGAACTCAAGAAGCCCTTCCCTCCTCCATCCCCTTGCCTCCTTGTAACAGTTGATGCTGGGCCCTGGGGAGCTCAGACACGAAGCTGGGTTGGTGGCTGCTGAGCCCACGCCTGAGGGACTGGCACACAAGTGGGTGGTGAGTCTGGGCTGATGGTGAGTCTTGTACAGGTTTCAGTGACCAGCTCTGCTCACCACCACTGTTTCCTGGAAAGTTCCAGAAGGCAGTCCCGAGGTAGCAGGCCAGGGGAGGAGTTCTGCCCTCTCCCGTGACTAGAAATCACCTTCTTTTTCTAATGACCCCAAGGCTGGTGTCCTGAAGGGCCCAGTCAGGAGCGCTGTCAAGCACCAGGGCCGGCTCCGTACAAGACAGGAAAGCAGCCATCTGCTCCCCCAGGCCTGACAGTGCCGGGAGGAGGACAGGGCTGGGATTCTCGGCCCGTGGCCAAGCACGTGGTCGCCCGAGAGCTCTCAACAATGTGCAGGGGCTGCGGCCAGCTGGAGCCGCGCAGCGTGCCTGTGTGTGAGGGAATCTGTGACACGGGGTTTTTCCACGGGCTGGGCGGTGCTGCTCTGTGTGAGAGGCACAGGGGCTGGAAGGAGGCGGTGGGGAGGCGGGCGGGGATGCAGGGAGGGCACCCGGGGGGAGAGGGACGGGCGTGGGCCAAGAGCCCAGATGCCAGGAGGGCAGGAGGGGAGGTTGCAAGCTGGCCATGAGGTGGGGGAGGGTGGAACGTTTTCAATGCCAGCGTCCTCACGACCTGTCCCTGTGCTGTGCCCTGAGGTGTGCGTCCCTGAGGCTGGGCCAGACTCCAGGCTGAAGCCGCGATGGGAATGTGCAGAGGACGGGAAAGTAAGGAATGTCAGACTCCTCCCCCCCCCCCCCCAACGACACCCCCCCGGGAAGGAGTCTTAATTTAGAACTGAATCTGCAACTCTGCCGATGCGAGGAAATCACACCATCCAGTTCCCCAGGAAGGGCATCTCACCAAGGACTGTACCTGGGTTATTTCTCTGGCATTCTTCTCGGGCTCATGCAACCTAAAAAGGAAAGAGACACAGGGATAAAAATATCCCCCTCACTATCTCCAGCGCTCATGCAAATCACTAAGAGTAACATTTAGGATCCACTTCCTCTGGGTGGAGGCCCAGGATGAGCCCTTCCCCAGAGAAATGCAACTGTTTATCAGATGTTTGGACCATGGATCTCTGTCCAATGAAAGAGGGGCTTTGGAGCCTCCTTCCTCATGCTATCACTGGATTCATTCACTCTGAAGACGAGGGTCTTTAAAAAATGCTAACACCCGGTGCTGGAACAGGCATGGGGAAACTGGCAATTCTGTGCATTGTCAGAAGGAACGGCAAAGCGGTACATTCAAGTTGGCAAAATCAAGAGCTTGGAAGGTGTCCTTGTCTTTTGACTCATAATTGCGCATCTTTTTTTTTAAATTTAAAAATATAGAAAATGCTTTATGTACCAAGGCATTTGTCATAGGGTGGTTGGTGGTGGCGGGGGCTGGGGGAGATAGTGGTGGGGTGGCTATATTTTACAGCCCTGCCAGTTGGGGCTGGTTAAGGCAATCAGAATAGAATCCTAGATAAAGATGTAAAAGGTTTATGCTATTCTGTTTTTATTACGAATGATTACATTAAAATGGTAAACGAAAAGGCTAGAGTCTCTGCGGAACTCTCTCAATTATGAAAAACGTGTGGGTAACCGTGGGAGGCGACTGTCAAATGCGAGAAGCAATGGTCTTTGGGTGATATTTCTTTCTTCTTTCTAGTCTCCCAGGCTCTCCAAATGTTCTCTATTAGACACATCTAGGTGTGATCATTGGAAACAAGGAGCCCAACCGGGCATCCTGGCTCATCAAAGGTGGTGTTCACGCACTAGAGCCTGGTTCACGGCGGGTCACGGTCAAGCTAGCGGTCACGCCAGAGACACCCATTCTACAGGGAGCTACTGTGTGAGTTCTCCAGCCGGCAACTCGGGGGATGCAGGCTTGGATAATGTCAGAAATGAGCAATGGGGCTTGGCAGCGGGGTTATTAATGGACTTGTCATGGGTGCCTGGTGCAGGAAATCATTCAGGGACATGACGGGCCCCATGTGGCCACAGGACTCGCCCCCCGGGGGGGCAGGAACACAGGCTGGTAAGGAAGACATGGGGCTGGGGCTCTAGTTCAATGCAGCTTCACGCCTCCTTCCAGCCCCAGGTGGCCTGGCTACTGCTCATGACCCCCAGCTGTTCCATTCCCCTGTCCTTATGTACTCCCCCACAACTTCCAGAAGGTTCCTGATGCTCCGGAAGTTATGGGTCAGTGACAGTCTTGCTGACCCTCCTGAGGACACTTGCTCTTGGTCGACCTTTGTAGCTCCCTGGCTCCAGGAAGGCTTTGCTGGCCGTGCTGCGCTGAGCCTGGTGTGTTTCCCATCTGGCTTATGCGTCTGTTTGTCTCTGTCTGTCAGGCTTCCTCCCTGCCAGGGAGATGCTCTGTTGTGGCTGGGAGGAAGACCGGCCAGCCTGGTGGGCCTTTGCTCCCAGTCCTCTTCCTTCGCTTCCCGACCCCAGCTCTTGTTTTAAATGGTCCTTCCTCAGGAAGACCGTCACTGCGCCCCAAACTCCCTTCTCAGAGCCCCAGGTAGGGGAGCCTGGAAGAAGCAGGGGTGGGTGCGCTCTCACTGCCGCCTCTCTCCCGGGCGGGTCCTGCTCCCCTCCCCCCTGCACTGCACTCACACACCAATACTGCTCAATTCTGCTCTCTCCACCATGCCTCCCCAGCCCTGTCCACTCCACAAGGCCAGGGACGCTGCCTCCAGATCCTCTTCCAACCAGAGGCTGGACAGAGAGTCCAGAGGGTCGGTCAGGCACTTGCCTTGCACGGCAGATCCCAGTTCAAACCTGGAAACCATAAGCGAGTTCCCTGAGCAACCACCAGGTGTGATCCCTCAGCACGGAGCCAGGAGTCTGCCCCGAGCACTGTTGCGTGTGGCCTACCCCCCACCCCCAATACACAGAACAATAGTCTGACAAACCAGGCCCTCTCTGGGTCCACCGCCCTATTCCCGAGCAGCCTCCTGCCGGGACCCCCTCCTTTTCTGCGCCCCTTCCCTGCAGGTCAGATGTGGGACCCACAGTGTGACCACCTCATTTTGTGTGCAAAACTATCACCCAGTGACAGTCACCTGTGTCCCTTAACTGGCGAGGCTGGTGTGTTTCCCCTGACCCCTGGGGCTTCCATCCCCCCCTTTGCCTCAGCCCTGCCCTGGCCTTCCCTGTATTTCTCAAAAAAGGTCCAGCTGCTGCTGCCCTGGGCTCCAGGAGCTGTCCCTTCCTTCTGCCAGGTGCAGCCCTTGGCCCAGAACAGCACAGCTGGTTCCTTCCCAGCCCTCAGCTACCTTCTAAATGGCCCTTCCTAAACCGTAGCCCCTCCCCCCACGCCTTCCCCAGCTCGGCCTGGCTTAATTGTCATCCCCCCACCTCATTTACTTGCCTCCCAGCTTGTTTGGTGGCTGATTTGGTTAGTTGCCTCCCCAGGGACCGCAAGCTCATGGGACCGCAAGCTCATGGGGCCGTCCCTGGTCCCTGATGCCCAGACACGCACGGGCAGCCAGTTGTCTGGAAGCCATCAATAGCCAAGAAAACTGAATGAAGGATCATCCCTGCCCTCTGAGCAGAGATACACAAAACCAGCTTAAGTCTGTTTTCGCTTCCCTCTGCACCCCACCCCGTCCCCCCTCTCCCTCCACTGCACGGAGCCAGGGCTCATGCTAGTGACTAAACGAAAAAGTCGGGGAAACCCTAAATATTCTGAGAATAAACGGAAGCAAATGTCTGACAAGTGAACAAACGGCCAGACGCCCGCACCCCGGTGCCCAATTAAGAGAGCAGAGACACATTTTTCTCTCATCTGAGCCAGGGAAGATTACAATGTTCTGCATGTATGTTTCCAACGCAGGGAGTTAGAAATAGCCGGTCCCTCCACCAGCCTGGCAACCTGAAGGGCCTTTGAGCTCAGAGCAGCGGCATCCCCCCCTCTCCCAGCAGCACCTCCCCGAGGGGCTCGGTGGCTGCCCACACCAACATCCTCCTGAAAGCGTCAGATCCCAGTCGGCTGCCTGAAGCCGGCGCCGGCGAGGGGAGCCACCATTACCGCTCATTCGCCATCGCTTTGGTTTAGAGAGATGAAAGGGAGCAAGTGATCTCACGGCTCCCTGGGTAGGCTCATGCTGGAAAAATAAAAAAAAAATTTTAAAAAAAGGCAGAAATCGCTTGGCTTCTCTTGGGGAAGGAAAACCGGGCAGCAAGAGGCACTGGAGGAGGGGGAGGGAATTAGCAGCATCGGAGCAGGTCCAGACGGAGCTGGAGAGACCCTTCGTGCTACCTGTGGGACCTCGGGGATGTCCCAGCGCTTCTCTGAGTCTCGAGTTTCTGCAGCCATACGGAGAGACAATCATCATTCTCTAAAATGAGGGTTCGCAAAGTCTGGCTCAAAAACACAGCCGCAGCGGTGGTGGCCCCCGAGAACGGGTTAGAAAAATTCTGCCTCGGAAACGCTGGTGGGTGTGGGGCAGCAGGGATGGGGGAGGGGGGTCCAGTCATCTGTATTTTACCCATCCTTGCAGTGAGCCTCTCTGCTCCGTGCTCAAGCTGGAACCGCTGTTCAATTAAACTGGGATGGTTGTAAATCATAGGGCTTTTGCTCTAATTAAAATCACCAATGGGCTAATATAGGTAAGAGCATAGATTGGTTCCTGGAACACAGCACGGGCTCCATAAATGCTAGCTGCTGACGCCGTGGTCATGATTATTATTGGCACTGCCCTTTCCTTCCAGAAACGTATGGTCTAACGGGGGGGGGGGGGGAGAAATAAGACAAGTCGAGAAGTAATGACGACAGTAGAAAAAAATTAAATAAAGAAGAGATCCACGGCGAGTTTCAGGAAATCAGAGGTGGGCAAAAGGAGATGAGGAATCGCTTCTGTGGTTTGAGACGGCATTTGCGCATTTAACAGCCATTCTCGAAAAATCTATTCCAGGGCCAAGGTTTGCAGCTTTTAGCAGTGACAACGAAGAAAGGCTCCTACGGTCAGGAGGAGTGGGTTGGAGTGGGGACAGGCACAAAGACGCCTTGATGGTCTAGGCAGGTGAGTGGAGAGCCCCAGGAACACTCACGGGACTGACCCTGTGTCTGGTGGAGGCACTGCCCTTGCTAAGCACAGAAGGAGGAGGAAGAAGCAAGTGGTGGAGGAGGGTCAGGCGCTGGGAGACCTGTTTAGGCCTAGAACCGCATGCTTCGGACACCTCCGGGTGGGGCCCTGGTGGCCTTTGGCCTCTTTGTCTGAGCTGTGCCAGGAATTCAACCAGCCAGTCCATTGACTTGGTATCCCTGGGGGTGTCCCCCCCTAAAAAAGAAAGAAGGGGTGCCCACTCTCGCAACCATGTCACACCATTCCAGAGTCACTGGGAGTACCAACCCATGGGGACTTGGGGTGATGTGTGATGGGGGTCCAGGTGAGGGGCACAGAGAAGGAGGAGGAGGTGCAGCTAAGTCACAGGCTCCAGGGCTGGGTGCACCTGTGTATGTCAGCAGGGTCAGGCCAGGAAGGGCTTGAGGGCATCCAAGCAGGGGCAGTGGGGGAGTCCACAGAAAGCTTCAGACAAAGGATGGAGGGGCCAGAGCCACAGGACAGTGGGAAGGGCACTTTCCTTGCACACGGATGGCCCAGGTTGGACCTTCAGCATCCCATAGGGTGCCCCCCCACACAAGGCCACCAGGGGTGACCCCTGAGTGTAGAGCCAGGAGTAAGCCCTGAGCACCTCCAGGTGCAGTCCAAAAAACCAAACCAACAAACAAACAAACTTCCCACCCTCCAAATGATGGAAGTTGAGTTTTGCCCTCAAGAAGGCGTGGGGAGTTAAAGGGAAATACACTCCCGGGGCAGGGAAGAGCCCAGTTTTGCTGCTGGTTGGAGACTGGGGGTCTGGACAGACAGCAGGGTTCAGACAGGATAGCTATCTGTGGAGGGCAGAGCAGGGACCAGGCTTTCTCCCCAGTGACATGGGACAACAAGGTGGCTGGAGGGGGTGCAGGTGCCTCCAGGGGAGAGCGAGCTCTGGTCACACATCAGCTTCTCCCATCACAGCCCGCCCCTGAGGCCCCAGTGCAGGACACTGAGTCCCAGCCACAGGCATCCCTAATGCCACAGTCCTCTGATTCTGTCCCTGAAATATATCTGACCCACCCAGGTCATGGCCACATCTGCTCAGACCCCAATAGCAGCCTCTTCCCCGGGCCGGCCTGACTCACTCATCAGGACCCTCGTGCCAAAGCCACATCCTCACCCTCAGGGGGCTTCTGGTCTCTCTGGAATCAAACCTGGATTCCTATGATCAGCCGCAAGCTGGGGCCCCCAGGGGCCTCCACTCCAGACCCATAAAAACAAACCAACCCCCAAAGCTGTGCAAAACCTATCGGGAACAAATCCCTCAGCCAAGTGAAGTGGCCAAGAGCTCCTGTTTTCTGCCCTTGCTGAGAAGACGCAGTGACAAGGAGACTCGGGTGCTGCCTTCCGTTGCTGGGTCTTACCAGGTGACTTCCTGAAAGCGGAGACAACTAGGTGGCTTGGCTAGTACCGGTTTGCATGCAGGAGCTTCGGCTGAGAGACCCTGCTGCTGGCAGGGCCCACCCCAGCACTTACACAGCACACTCCCCATCCCAGCTCATGTCCCTACTCACATGCCTTTGTTTGTCACCTCCTGCCCCCACTGCCACCTCTCATTCCATTCTGACATTCATTATCTGCTTCTCTCTCTGCCGTCGGAGTTCCGGAAGGCCCGGCTGGCTTTCTGTGTGCTACTGTGTCCTCAGCACTCAAGGCCCAAGTATCACAGGGACTCAGTAAAAAACACACCCCAAAGATGCGAATCCACCAAGGAAATGTTTCATCCTAACATACGTTCCTCAGTGTCCCGACAGGTTCACCTTAGTCTGGAGCCTGGCCTTAGGGGAGGGGGAGGGAAAGCTGCCTTCTCCCCATCCCACCCCGGGCGTGCCAGGCTTCCATGTGCCAAAGTCAGCAATAAATAGTTCCTGAATAAACAGTAAGAGCAGAGGGCAGAGCTTGGAGCCCGGGCCTGAGTGTGAAGGAAGGTGGGGCATCGGCTGTGGGGGGCGGGCGCTCAGAATCCCCTTGCTGGAGACCTTAATTAAAAACAGACCCGGCGTCCTGAGCCCGCAAAGAGAAGAACCAGAAACGCTGACGGGCGCCAGGGTGAGGTCAGCGGTGTGGGTTCTGCACAGCAGCTGGGGGGCTGGGGAGGCTAGGGGTCAACCAGATACCAACAACAAAAACACCACAGCACACAGCAGGACTTACCTGGTAGAAGAAGTGGAGCCTTTGGCTGGAAGGGAAAAAAGAACCAAAATTCACTTAGTTAATGTAGAAACACACTTGCTTTATGTTGGGATTCGGAGTAACTCCGGCCTTAGCCCTCCCTCGATCCCGGGACAGACGAAGGAATTGTTGTGAACGCATCTAGTATATTCTGTGGACACAGACCTCCTTCCCCAACACACACACACACACACACACACACACACACACACACACACACACAAACATGCACGCACCCATGCACACACATGCATGCATGCATGCATGCATACACACATGGACATGTGTGTACACACAAACACACACAGACACGTTCATCCCAGGACAGCTTCCGGGGAACCACAAAAAGCCTCGTGAGGCTCTTCACAGCCAACTAGCCTCCACACTCTTCCCAACACCTGACCTGTGACACCCTCCACGCCCCAGTAACCCATACCCAGACCAGGCTCTTCAAGGTGGAGTGTAGTGGGAGGAGCAGGAGTGGGTGCCACTGCTGTGACCTGTCCCTCCCAGTGGGACCTCAGTCTCAGGACCCAGGACTCCTGCTGACCCAAGAGGGTGGGGCAGGATGTCCATTTATTCCCCAGTCACTGCTTTCCACCAAAGGATCTTGGGAGGAAAGAAATGGTCCATCTGATTCAGAGATTTTAAACCTGGTCTCTGGCCACCCCCCCGCCCACACACACACACACACTCACACACAGAGACTGCCAGGGTTCAGTCACCATTTGACTCCTATTTCGCTGTAAAATTGTAATTAAAAAGCAACATGCACGCTCAGATGTGCTCGCACAGCATTTCAGCAGGCGCCAGGCTGCCTGGCACAGCAAGAAAATGTGTGCTGCCGGGTCCCAAGCAGGTACAGGGTCTGGAGGTAAGCAGGGTAATAGTTCATAAGGCTGCAGCACCGCATGGAATGTCTGAGTGGAGGCCGTGGGGTTGCCAAGGGCTGGGACACAGGGCAGCCCAGGGACACCCAGGGTGGCCCACTACAGGCTCTGGTTTAAAACATTTTTTTTCTTTTTTAATTTTGTTTGGTTTTGGCCCACACACCCGGTAGAGCTCAGGACTTACTCCTGGCTCTGTGCTCAGGGATCACTCCTGGCAGGCTCAGGAGGTCATTTGGGGAACCAGAGATCAAACCCAGGTCAGCCACATGCGAGCGCTGTACTGTCCCTCAGCCCCTTAAAGGCCCGTCTCTGAGGGGCTCAGAGCTGGAATCAGGACAGTGAGTATTGAGAGAGCAGACATATGGAAACAGGAAGCAGGAACATCACATCAGTGTGGAGGAAACAGGCAAGGTGGGCCCAGAGGTGGTCTCCGGAGACCCAACTGCCTGAATTTGAGTCCTAACCCCTGGACTCCCAATTTATCAGTGGGGAAGCTTTGGACAAATTTCATAATTCGTGTGTGCCTCAGTTTCCTCATCTGTAAAATGGGGTTCATCGTGCCACTGCAGGTGGTAGGGGGTGGCGCAGCAGTGCCCGGGGCAGTTGAGGAACTGAGTGAGGCTGGTTGCTGTTTGTTTGGGACTTGGGCGCTGCACACAAGCTGCCTGCGGCCTTCACCAGGGCCCACAGTCCTCCTAGCCCTCCACCCTGCTCTGAGACACCCTGCTCTTGGGCTGCCAGTGCCCAAGCCACGACCATGAGCTCCAATGTGCCAGGCGACTGGCACCAACCCAGAGATGAGCCTGTTGTGCCAGACAGCTCGAAGGGGTGCAGTGCGTGCTTTATCACACGGTCAACAGATCTGGAAGTGATGCTTGAGCACTGAGCTGGGCACAGTCCCTGAGCACCAATATGTGTGTCTCAAACACCCCAAACGAAACCAAACTGTCATGCAGAGCCCCTTCTCCAGAAGGCACTGGGGTCGCACTGCTGGAGGCCAGGAACGCCCTGGCCCATGGACCCTTTTCTTCACTTAGAAGGAGTCTGTGTGTGTGTTGGGGGGGGGCGTATGTGTGGATGGGTATGGGGGATGCTAGCAACTTTGGAGGACCCTCCAGGTAAATCAGATGGCAGAATTGCTTCCAGATTCCAGAAGGAAGGGGCCTGGCTCCAACCTTCCCAACCTGCAGGTCAGCCCACCCACTCAGGATGAGGGAGGGAAACTTGGGGGCCAGGAGGAGGGGCTGCATACGAGCTTCAGGAATCATATGTGAGCGCAGCCAGAGGCACAGGCACAAAGAGGCTGGTCAGGCTGGCCAACGGGTCACAGGAAGCATTTCTGGGCTAAGGCAAACAGCAACACCCCAGCTGTTCACACTGGATACATTTGTATAACTGACAAAAGCCTTCAGGCTCAGAATCTCCCTCCTCCCAACATTGTCACTATTACACCACAGTAACATGTGTTACAATGTTAAAATGTAGATACTTTAGTGGTTAGGAATTGCCCAGGAGGTGGGTCTTTAACAATAACAGTAACAGTAACAGTAACAATAATGTAACAATGGGTGGGTCTTTATTCCCTTACCCATTAAGCAGGTGAGGACACAGAGGCGGGTGGCAGCCAACCTGAACTCTAGGGTATGACAAGGGTCTGTGACTTGGTCTGTCAGATGCCAAAGTCATATACCTTGCTACAGAGACAGCCGCACACACTCAAGCATAAATTAACTCACGCACCAGCAGCATACAAGCAGGGGACCACACCCCAGGTTTGAGCTTCCGCCCACCTTGTCAAGCTGTAGAGCACTTCCCAGGGAGGGGTTCATGGGCCTGGGCCCACTTACAACCCCGACAACCAGTGTAAACATTACTAGGCGCCAGGCCCCTTCCTGGCACCTCATCATCACTGGTCGAAGGCTCCCAGAGCCCTGGTGCTAAGCTGGCCTTGAGTGCTGTCGCTCTCCAGCCTCCTTCCTATGGCTGGTCATGGAACCCGGGGGTATGGGAAGAAATCAGACACTGGTCAGGGAACTCTGGGACAAGGCTTCCGGCTGGCAAGGATGAGAAAAGCCCGTGCACTGCTCTTGTCACTCTCCCTCCCCTCCCCCGCCCCTGGCAGCTCCTTACCCCTCCCCCCCCCCAGCAGGATGTGAGCAGGGTCAGCCTCAGTGAGACCACCAGGGGAAGCTTGTGCATATGGTATCACTGGAAGTAGCTGGATATCCTTAGAGCATCAGGAGCCCACAGCCACAGAGCACTCTTGTGACCCCTCTCTCCGGGACCGACAGCCCAGGGCACACTCTTGCGGGGAAAGGAGGGGTCCACTCACCTTTTTTCTGTCGGATTCGGAGGAGGTAGAGGGCAGCGATGAGCAGGGCCACCAGCAGGGCACAAATTACACCCACCGCAATGGAGATGCCGTACCAGCTGGGAGTTGCATCTGAGTGGGGGGTGGGGAGGCACAGGAAATGAAACTTCGTGTATGCAAGCTGAACACAGTGAGAATTGCCACCCACCGCCCCTTCTCATGGTCAGCAGGACCCATGCACAGAACATCTGGCGGGGGCCTTGAGATGTTTCCAGCCAGGTCGCCACATCTGTGGTCTGTGTATCCACTTCCTTATGGGTGACCCATGCATGGGTAGGCAGCTGCCCCGCTAGGGTACTGGGAGGGAAATGTGTGTCTAGGCAATGCTGGGTAAGACCAGCTGGAGGGGAGGAGGCAGAAGTCTCACTCCCGGGGACCAAAGATCAATGTTTTGCTCATCGAGAGCCCACCACAAACTCTGAATTGCAATGGGGTATCCAGAGCTCTATGGAAACAGGGATAACATGGCTGCCCCATGGCACAAGGCGGTGCCTAGACTCGGAACATCATAATCAGGAGCAGGGCTCTGGGCCACTGAAATGTGAGTGACTTGGAGCTAGTCATTTAATGCCCCTCCACACAGTGGCTTCCTCCTATGTTACGGAAGCAACAGCAATTTCCACAGCTTGGGCAGCCCCGAGTATGAACTCACTGGCTGACTGGTCAACCTGTCCATCCACCCACTCTCCCCTCCTTTCCGTTTTTTTTTTTTAATTTTTTGGGTCACAGCCGGCAATGCACAGGGGTTACTCCTGGCTCATGCACTCAGGAATTACTCCTGGTGGTGCTCAGGGGACCATATGGGATGCTGGGAATCGAACCTGGGTCGGCTGTGAGCAAGGCTAAAAACCCTACCCACTGTTCTGTCACTCCAGCACCTTTTTCTTTTCCTTCCTTCCTTCCTTCCTTCCTTCCTTCCTTCCTTCCTTCCTTCCTTCCTTCCTCCTTCCCTCCCTCCCTCCCTTCCTTCCTTCTTTTGAACCCCTCCTTTCTAAAACTATTTCCCTGAAACATTCAGTGCCAGATCCTGAAGCAGGTCCGGGCAGCTGTGGGCCTGGCAGCCGAGACTCTAAGCTAAGAAGTGTTGGTGGTCATCTGCTTCCACACAGCTCAGGGCCATCTGGGAGAGTACAGGCGACACCACAGGGTCAGCTCTGCAGGGTTAGATTTCTCCAGGGCATCCCTGTTGCCCCAGCGGGAGAAAAATAGCCTTGGTGTTAGTCAGCCCAAGAGTGTGCTCCGCTCCAGGCATGGCCAGGCCTGTGGGTCCTGAGACACTCCACAGGGGGGACAGAAATGCTGCGAGAGGATGGCATTATGACAGAAAGAAGAGGGAGAACACAGATGATAGGCTGGCAGGGGCTGAGACCCTCGGATTGTCCCTGAGGATGCCAGTGGATTCCCACTGTCTTCCCTGGGTCCCCCGTGCCTACCCCCACTCCTTAGGAAATGGTCTCACTGAAGTAGCTGCTCATGGAACAGCAGCTTCCTTGGCTATACCGTGGAGAAACACCAAGACAAATCAACCAAGGCCCCACCCCATGCCTGGCGGGAACAGGCTGGTGGTGGCGGCTGAGCAGGACACCTGGGGTAGAGGAACTAGGAGGAAGGTGTCTCGGAATGAATGGAAAATGGAATCACGGGCTAGATGGAAGGAGGAGGCTGGATGTGAAGCACAGGAGGCTCTCCACCCTCCTCTCTCTTCTTTTCTTTTGGGGGCCATGCCTGACAGTGCTCAGAGCTTACTCCTGGCTCTGCACCCAGGGATCATTCCTGGCATTGCTTGGGGGACCATAGGAGCTGAGGATTGAACCAGGGTTGACTGCATGCAAAGCCAGCAAGTGCCCTACCCACTGTACCATCTTTTGGGCCTGTTCCTTTCTTGCTTTACTATTTACGTAAAAACCTTAACGACATGCACTCAATGCTTACCAGTGGTCACCCTGGGAGGAGAGGGCTTGCGGTAGTGGAAGCCATTTGAAAATTTGACTTTATATTTGCAAACTTCTAAATTATTCCATACTACTTTTTTTTTTTTTTTTTTTTTTGCTTTTTGGGCTGCACAGGTTGATGCACAGGGGTTACTCCTGGCTCTGCACTCAGGAATTACTCTTGGCGGTAGCTCAGGGGACCATATGGGATGCTGGGAATCGAACCCAGGTTGGCTGCATGCAAGGCAAACTCCCTACCCTATCTGCTGTGCTATCACTCCAGCTCCTCCACACTACTTTTTAAGGGGTGGGGGTATCTTAAGCAGGGCTTGGGGTCCTGGGGACCATTCCCAGCAATTGTCAACCAATCAGGCCAATGATCCAAAGATATTTAGCTGGTTGGGCCCTGTAGTGTTGGGGATTATATGGGCCACCCAGGCAGTGCTCTGGAGCCTCCAGGGCTATACCCAATGCAGCTTGGTGGAGTCATAGAGCACCAAGGTTTACACTCAGATTCTAAAGTGCCTAACCACTGGGCCATCTCCCTGGCCCCTGAATTATTTTCAACATTGAAAAGGAGAAGTAAAAGAACCAGGTCCACTGGCACGAAGGGCTCACCAGAGGAGTCATTTGAGCCTTGGTCCTTCTGGGGCGCAGACACCTCCAGGGTGTGTGATTTGGTGAGCACCGGCTGCCCATCGTGCTCCACCTGGCAGGTGAATGGCACGTTCTCCCGGTGGGCAGAGGAGTTCACCAGGAGCCAGCTGGTTCGGTTAAAGGTCCCGTCCTTGTTCTCTAAGAGGAGGAAGGTCGTTTCTGTCCGGGACACGTTTCCGTTCTCCAGCCAGGTCAGCCGTAGGTTCTGGGGGTAGAACTTCTTCACCTGGCAGGTGAGGTTCACCTGGTTGCCCACTGCCGGGTACTGGGAGACCTCCAGGGTGGGTGGAACTGAAACAGCACAGGGCAGAAGCTCTGATCTCAGGGGACAGACAGGTCACAGGGGCTGGGATGCAGCGCTTAGTTCCCACCCATGGCATGGAGTCACCCCGACAGCACCAGGCATGCAGGAACGGAATCGTTAGCTCTGTGCCCAGGACACAGAAGGTGCTCAGGAGAACTGGTAGCTCCTTATGGGGCAAAAGCCAGCAAAATCAATAATTACAGCCCCTTACATCCATGAGGACCCCATAACTGTAGCAAAATAAATGAACTGTCCATGCGGGCTCTGGTAATAGTAGGTGAGTGGGTGCTTAGGAAGCAAGGCTGCTTTTCTGCAAAGTAAGTAAGGGAATCCAGCACAGTGCTGGGCACATAGGAGCTTCCATGGCAACAGGCATGAATGACGGGCACATCCAGCATGCTGGCAATCGGGAAAGGAGGATGGGAATTAGATTCCGGATGTTAGAACAAAACACCGGGGCTGGGGGGCAGGAATGGGCAAGGAGACACAGGGGCTGGGGTGAGGGTGTCTACCTCGGATGCTCTCAGCCAAGCTGGCCGTCCCACGGAGAGGAGAGCCCTTGGGCAGGGTGATGTGGGTGACCTCACAGATGACCTGGGAGCGCACGTCCCCCGAGGTCAGCGGCACCCTGGCTGTGCTGGAGATGCTGTAGGAGGTGCTGTCCCCCTGGGGGTCCACGCTGGTCTGGAAGGCCGAGAGTACCTTCCCGTTTTTGAACCACCGCAGGCTGATGTTTCTGGGGGAGAAGCCGTGGGACTTGCAGGTGAAGCTCACTGTGTGCCCGGGCGGGGCCCTCGTCTTGGGGCCCGAGACCTCGGGAGGAGAAGGTTTGGCTACAAGAGGAGTGTTTGGACACAGTGAGAGTGTGGCACCAAGGATAAGCACCGCCACCCGGGTCCTGATGGTCCCTCCTCTAGGGCTGGACGGGATCAGTGTCCTCACTCACTGCAGGGGAGACCCTCAGCTCACATCTGCGCCGAGTCACGGGGATGCCGGGAATCCAGGCTGAGCTCAGAGTGGGCCTTCTTTACTTTCCGTGGGCCGTCCTTAGACCCCCAGGAATAGGGGGCGGCTGGGCATTTTCTTTTCTTTTTTTTTCTTTTTTTTGGGGGGGGTCACATCCGGCAATTCACATGGGTTACTCCTGGCACTGCACTCAGGAATTACTCCTGGCGGTGCTCAGGGGACCCTATGGGATGCTGGGGATCGAACTCAGGTCAGCCATGTGCAAATGCCCTACCCACTGTACTATAGCTCAGCCCCAGCTGGGCATTTTCTCTTCCTAGCAGCTGCCCCCGAGGACAGAGGAGCCAGGTATGGAAGTAAGCATAAGGGAGACAGAACCACTATGGGACCCAGGAGCTGACCCAGCATACCCCCCAGAGGGGTGGCCTGGCGCCCCCAGTTCCTCCCTGAAAGGCGGAACTTGCCTTCCTGGAGGGCCTGGAGGGTTGAGGGGAAGCAGCGGCAGTGTTTTTGCTCAGCGTCAAGCTCAAGGTACTGCATCAAACTCACGCAGCTCCAGTCTGTGGCTGGCCAGAGCTTTCCCTGCAGGTACTACAAACAACCCTCCTCGGCGCTTCTCCGACAGCTCCTGCAGGCCTGAGCTGCGCCCAACCGGGATCCAAATGGGAGGGAACAAAAAGTCTGTCTCTGAGGCCGGGTTCAGTCTTGGTCCATCTGGGGCTGAAACCAAAGCTGGCTGAGAGCGCCCAAGGCCGTCCCCTGTCTTAATCACTGTTAAATCAGCAGGCACGCAGGCCTTGTACACGGGCTGACAGGCCTTGCATGACCTGAAACGCCTCAGTGAGTGGAAGGTGATGGCCGGCCTCCCTGTGGGGGCTCCACTCGGGCGCCTCCAAACTGTCCATTATTATGTAACACCTCCTGTCATGGTCACCAGGCGGCAAATAGGACAAATATTTGCCTTTGTAAATAATTGTCTCCTAACACACGGGCAGCACTTTGATGACTGAGTTGTTGGTGGTGGTGGGGGGGGGCGGGGAGGCGGGTGTCACTGATTGAGCCACGGCAGCCTGAACCTCTCAAAAGAGAAAAGATGGGGTGGGGGGTGCGGGCAGGAACCATTTACCTAGGGGTGTCCTGGGAGCCCGGCACTGGGCTGATGTCCCCAGGGTTCTCACACCTTAACCAGCCTGGGAAGTGGTCCCCGAGGATGTCATGTATGGACATGGTAGGGACTGGTCATGGGCAGTGACCACACATGGGGGGACTGACCCAGGGTCTCTGATCTGCACCCGGGAGCCTCAGCAGCTGTTTCCGTGCAGAGTGGACAGAACCCTCGCCCAGGGGAGAAGCAGAATCCCTGGACAAGAGAGCCTGAGAGAGGATGCTGGTGACGGCTACCAAAACATCCGGTCATCTCTAGGGATGAAACTTATTTGTTGTGAAAACCTAATGATCACCAAGGACAAGAAGAACCAGGAAGCAGAACCAGAGCAAAAACATCACAGGGTCTCAGAGCCCCCTGCCTGCAGCAGCACCCACAGAAAACCCAGTGAAGAAAGGAGCTGAAACTCCAACATGGTCCTCAGACTTGCTTCCCCCCGCCTGCCCCCATCCCCCACAATCCTCTGAGGAAACAAGTGTGATGGATCCACTCCAACATACACACCAGTTCCAGGCTGTGCTGGACAGAAGCCGGAGGCGTGTGGAAAGCAGGGAGGCACGTTAGCAGGGAGGGCTTCGGGGCCCTGGAAGTCACTGCACAGCCAGCTCCCGCTGAAACGCACACATAACTGCTAGTGGGAAGGGGCTCAGTGGGGGTGTCTGGGCTGCCTGACCTCGGGAAGGGAATCCACTCGGAGCCCCAGTCATGCTCCTGGTGGTGTGGGATGTGTGTGTGTGTGTGTGTGTGTGTGTGCGTGCGTGTGTGTGTGTGAGTGTGTCTGCAGGGGGTTCCTAGCAACTCCTGGGGTTTCTTAATAACTTGGGATCCCAGCTTGCTGTCACAAACAATTCACATGCAATTCCTTTTTTTTTTTTTTTTTTTTTTTTTTGCTTTTTGGGTCACACCCAGCAATGCACAGGGGTTACTTCTGGCTCTGCAGTCAGGAATTACTCCTGGCGGTGCTCAGGGAACCATATGGGATGCTGGGAATCAAACCCGGGTTGGCCACATGCAAGGCAAATGCCCTACCCACTGTGCTATCACTCCAGCCCCTCACAGGCAATTCTTGTGTTTGTGTTTGGGTCATATCTGGTGATACTCAAGGCTTACTCCTGGCTCTGCACTCAGGAATTATTTCTGGTGGTTCTCAGGGGATCACATGGGATGCCTGGGATGGAACCCGGGTCAGCCATGTGCAAGGCAAGTGACCTCGCCGCTCTACTATGGCTCGGGCCCCACAAATCTATTCTAAAGGACCCACCACCCTCTCTCAGGGCCTGAAGCACAAAGAGTTGCTCTGGTAAGGAACAATAATGCATTTTTTCTCTCAGTGACCACAGAATTATCTTTCTCAAGCCTGGCTATGATGAGCAGCCTCTGGCGATCAGATATTTCAACTTCCCGGCCATACCTGACTAGTACAGTCAGAATGCCCAGGTGTAGCTGAACCTGAGGAGGCTAATCAATGTCCCCAGCAATGCTCTAATGAGCAGCCAGGGCTTACAGCACCTCTTGCCCTCACCTCACAACTACCTGAGGCTGAGGAGGAGAGTGACTGCCCGAGGTCCTCTGGCTTCAGCACATCCTGGCTGACAGGCAGGCAGCTTCCTGAACTCACACAGCTCACACATTCCCAGCGGTCATCACTCCCCTTTGGGTGCAGGTAAGGAGTGAGGAGAAAGCATCACTGACAGAGGAGGACCTGGGTCAGAGGAGTGATGGGTCAGAGGTCACAGAGACAGGAAGTGGCAAGTCGGGAGGTGAGCACAGGCGGTTCTAGTGATGCTGCCATGGAACTTTCTACCCGGCTCCATCCCTTATAGGCCTGAGCTAAAGCCACACTTCACTGACAGGGAAACTGAGAACCAGGGAACTGAGACAGCCAGGTGCACACAGCTCTGTGAAGACAGTACCATTTCTCAGGAGTATCCACTCCGATACCCGCTCAGTGCACCTCACCACTTCCTGAAAAGCTCACAGTCCATCACGGCCCCTGTTTGAGTCCTGAGAAGAGGGAATCGACAGAAAAGAAGGGACCATCTCTTGAATCCCCCACATGTCCATGGAGAACCAGCAGAGCCAGGGCTCCATCCTCACCAGACAGACACTGACCACCTGGCCTGCACCCTCTGAGAGCCCGACTTCAGGCAAGGAAAGGGCAGAGTCGCTGCTTGAGCCTGAGGCAACAAAGGCAGAGACACGGGCTCCCATGGACTCTGGCTACCCCGTGCCTCAAGAGCACTTCCCTCTCCCCTCTAGCTAGAGCAAGGGAGGTACGTGGGCTTGGGGCTTGCAGGACACCCCGACCCCTACCCCACCCACACTTCCCAGAGCAGCTCCTGAGGTAAAAGAGCAACCAACCCCTTTCTCACACACATGCTCACAAGCATATACTCACATATATACACATGTGCAAGCATACACACATACACCCACATATACATGTGTACACACTGACATGTGCACACATACATCTGTACATGTGTGCATGCACAACATACTCACACATGCACACATATACATGTGCATACATTCACACACGTGCACACATGTTCAAATACATACACGCTGTACATTCACATGTGTACTCCCATTTCACATGCACATAATACACAATTCACACATGCACACACATGCATACACATCCAAACATATGTGTGCATACACTCACGCATGCACACATACACATGTGCACACACATGTGCTTACACGTGCACAAGCACACACTCATAACGGACACATCCACACACAAGTGCTCACACAATGCACATGCACACAGAGACACGCATATGCACATACAGACTCACACATGTGCACACACATGCACACACACATGCACACACACACATGCACGGTCACACACAGGAAGCACTTCAGCGGTCTCAGATGTGAACCCTGTGTGTTAGGAGCAGGCTCAATGTGGCAGCGTCTGATCTGGAAGCGCCCTTCCTGGCCAGCTGAGTGTTCTTGAAATGCTTCTCACTGAAGAACAGAACTGGGCAAGACTTTTAGACTTTCCTCCAGACCCGAGAGCACCGTCGGGGTGGCAGAGCAGGTAGGGGTGCCCAAGAGGCTGCTTGGGGTTCAGATTCTGCCTCATATACCTGCTCAGACCCCTCCATGCCTCAGTGTCCTTATCTGGAGATGGGAAAGACCCTCTCTGACTGCACCTGGACATGCTCAGCTTTCGCTGAGCTTCGACTCTTACCTCCCCCATCCTCCCTGGCTCTGGGCACTCACCTGGCCAACACCTGGGAAGGTGGAGGGAGACGAAAGGGGAGAGGATGCCCTCCAGGACCAGCAGAGAGAAGACTGTGTGGGGGTTACCTCTGCAATTGCAGGGACACCACAACATCAGGGCAGCCAACTTCCCCGCCTGTGTCTGGGTGACCAGGCCCTACACCGAGGGGGAATCGGGGCAGTGTCCACACAGATGAAGCTCAACAGAGCTACAGCAGGAGTATCTCCTGCAGAGAAGACGAGCACGTGGACTCGTTACCCGGCCACACTATTCTACCAGCCTGAGGCTGGTGATAACCTCTGCCCAGCCACAAAAAACTGACAGTAACAGTCCTGTGTCCACCCTGGGCAGCCACTCATGTGGCTCCTGGGACTCATGCAATTCATGTGGCCAAATGCTAACAAAGGATCCCCGCCACCTTAGATTTCAGGGACCACATTGGGACTGGCAGGACGGGACCTGAACCTTGCTAAACTGATGCAGGAGAGACACTTGTCTCCCGGGCGACATCTGTGACCTTCTTCACTCATGCCTGCTCTGTGCCCAGTGCTTCCACAGGGCAGGGAAGAGCCTGGGATCCGGCTGGATTCTGGAACAATCCCTTTTCCAGCTGGGCCAGGGGAAGAGGGGCCCAGCTGGGCCAGAGGAAGAGGGGCCAGGTCCTCATCCCTCCAATAAAGCTTGGGGACTTCCCAGCACGCGCGCACACACACACACACACACACACACACACACACACACACACACGTGCACGCGCATGCCAAGGTCTGAGCTGGATGTGCTTCCCAGGTCCACATAGGCACCCATGGGAGACTCAGCTCCTGTTCTGCTCAAGCCCTCCTAGGCCATGCGACCTGGTCCCCAGGAATGACACCACCCCCCTCCCGAGCTCTGCGCATGCCTCCACCTGACCCTGCCGCATCCCGCAGCCCCTGCCTCTTGGACATTCGTTCGTAGTGAGAGATACATGAGAAAGCACCTTTTCCTCACAAAAGCACCCTTACATGCAAAAGCACCCTTTCCCCCGCCGCCTGTCTGTAAGGCTGATAATGGAAAATCAGCTGAGAAGAGCATTTGTGGGCTATGGAGGCTGCTGCTTACACCACGCCCAGTGCAGAGCTGGGCTTGCCTGGGTGCTTGGTAGGTGCCAAGAGGAGAAGCCCCACACTAAGGAGGACCCTTTTGGGGTGCAGGGGTGAGGCCCGGTGGGTGACTGGGCAAGTCACTCAGACCTCAGCTCCCTCATCCCTGCAGCCAAAGGGATGGGACAGACCAGGGCTGGGATCAAGGTGGTGGGTCCCAGACTTTGCCCCGGGATCTGCCTTGATCTCTGCAGCCTCCTTCCTGGACCTGCTGTAGGGGGTAGAGTGGCCGCGAAGCCCACGTGAGGACAAGCACCAGCAGTGACACTGCCCTGAGTCACTGCTTTCAGAGGAGAGGCCAGACTGGCTATGGTCACACAGCAGGACGAAGGACATTCCCCCGCCCCCACCAGAGCACTCACCACTCACGGTGACCTGGGTGCCTGACCCAGACTTGAACTCCACATCTTCCACATTCGCCTTCCGGAACTTCACACAGTAGTAGGTGCCCATGTCAGCCGGGCTGATTTCACGGATGCGGATGGAAAAGTTCATGTTGTCTCTCTTGGTGGAATCTGAAACATTGGTCACTCGGGGGTTGTGTACTTTGCTTCCAAAGTTGTAGATCTCATCCCGGACACCCAGTCTCTCCCGGAACCACTTGACAGAGCCCACGGGAAGCAGGGAGGTCATGGAGCAGCGCAGAGTGGCCGTCTCTCCTGCAGCCACTGACACGAGCTTATCAGGCTGGATCACCTGCAGCTGCACCTCCGTCCCGGCCACTCCTGAGGGGAAAACACAAGCAGCTCTTCACATGGGGTCCGAGAGATTTTCCCAAGTGTCTATCAGCAACCACATAGGGTGGCTTTGAGCTCAGCTCCTAGTGGGAAGCACTGTACAGAACTCTCACCCAGGCTACTCAAGGAGGCCCACTGCCAGCAAAGAAACAGCTGCACAGAGCGGCAAAGGCTCGAGGCAGTGCCCGAGCATCCCTGGAGGTGTCTGAGCCGGGCTCCGAATCCAAATCTGACCTCATCAGGAACAGTGTTTCTGATTGAGGGAACAGCCTGGGGAAAGGCTCATAGGTGGGGCCAGCCTATTGGGGGGGAGGGGAGGGCCTGGGACAACCAGATCTGTCTCGGGCCTGGCCCAGGAAGGAGGCCCCAAATAGAGAAGACCAACTCGGCATCTGGGGCCCGCCCAGGCTGCCAACGGGAAAGCAGGAGCACTTGGCTTAGAGTCCTGGCTCGGGGCCTGACTCCTGTCCGACCTTGGCCAGCGCTCAGGCGACTGGCACAGGGGTCTTCTCATATGTGAAGGGCAATGGCTGCCCCTTTAACTGTCCCCCCGCAACTCCCCAGCCTTGGCTGCTCATTTGGAGCCTGCCCACCTGGAGGGTTCTCAGGCAGGACTCACGACACCCAGCATGGCAAAACCCGCAGAGTCGTCTCACCAAGCCAAGAGAGTCTGCGTTAATGCAAACCTCCCGCCTTGGTCTGAGATGCGGCTCTGTGCCAGGGTCCACCTGCTGATTGGGGGGCTCAGGATCCTGACTCAGGAGATGGGAAGGGCACCCTGGTGACTCAGCACCGAGCCGGGCACAAGGCCGGGTCTGCTCCTCAGACAGGCTTGGTGCAGGGGTGCGGGAGATGCGCGGGGGCTGGACACGGGCCCTGGCTTCAAGGGCTCCTGAGCGGGGCAGGAAAAGGAGTCACAGAAGTCAGGGAGGAAGGGCTTGAGTCCTGAGCTGGACAGTGGCAGGGGGGAGGGGGATGAGTCAGGGGCTGAGTAGAGGTGGAAGAGGGGGTGCAGGGGTCATAAAGGCCTCAAGCACACACACAGACCCCCCACACAGACAGAGCAACTAAGAATACCGAGAGGAACAGTGGTGGCTGCCTGGTATAGGGGGCTCGTGGCTGTCCGGTCCCTTCCTGGCCCTCCACTGACCCTTGGTGGATCCTATCCTGTCCCCCACCACTCAGTCACCAGGTCTGGTCTGCTCAGCTCTAGCAGGGAAGGAGACCGTCAAATTGTACCTCCTCCCCGCCCCCAGCCTGGCAGCACCCCCGGGCAGAGGCAGACACGCTAAGGGAAAGGCCAGTTCGCTGATGACTCGCCTTGTGGGCAAGCCACCCCCAGAGCAGTCTGTTAGCCCTACCCGTCCACAGTCCCAGGCCTGATGAGCTGGTGGCACGTGGGTGGCCTTATGCTTCCGGGGTGGGCACTGGCAGCTGGGCAGGCCCACCCAGAGGGCCCCACCCCCCAGGCAGCATGGGCCCAGGGACCTCCAAGACAGCCTGGATGAAGCCCAGCACCAGGGGGCCACACACGTTCCCTGCCACCCACCGTGGGTCTGCACGCCAGCGGCCAGGCAGGCTGGACCAACTGGAAATGCTGCCGCCTGTGGGGGCATTGGGGAGGGAGTGGCCAGCCCGGGCAGGATCAAGGTTCCCCTTGAGCTGGCTCCGCGCCTCACTCCTGAGCCCCACTGCACCCTCCATAAAACAGGGCACCCGCCCCACCAGCACGAGGCCCGTCTGTTGACCAGAAGCAGAATTAGACTCGACTTCCTCCTCCTTTCATCACCTCGGGACCCAGTGTTGATAAGACCAGGACCTGGTGCTGATAAGACCTGGTGCTGATAAGACCCAGTGTTGATAAGACCAGGACCTGGTGCTTTTTGGGTCACACCTGGCGATGCTCAGGGGTTACTCCTGGCTTTGTATTCAAGAATCACTCCTGGCAGTGCTCAGGGGACCATATGGGATGCTGGGAATCAAACCCGGGTCGGCCACGTGCAAGGCAAATGCCCTACCCGCTGTGCTATCATTCCAGCCCCTAGACATGGTTCTTTCTGGGGTGGCGGTTTCCCCACCACCAGGACGGAGGCTCTGAGGGGGCCTGGTCAGCGATCCCAGCCTAGCCCAGCACCTGGTCCTGCAGCCTGGCTACAGGCGCCAGCATGAAGGAAACAAGTTTATTTTCTTGTGACTGTGGGGGAGAAGCCACTAGAGGTAGAGCCGGGCAAAGCCGGGGCCCAACCTGGTGCTAGGGCCCTCGGCAGGGTCTAGCTGGGAGTTATTCTTATCCTTCACCATCCCGGCACACCGGGCTGTGAGTCAGCAGTCGTTGGGGAGCATGTGAGCGGGTGAGGGGGCAGTGGAGCCGGGCGCGGCGTGTTGAAGCAGGACTATTCTTGGGGAACAGCCTGCAATCACACCCCGGGCAGGCGACAGTAAAAATCTCGAGCTGGGGGACGGCTACACCCCTCCTTTCCTTTCCTTTTTTTTTTTTTTTAAGTTTTTCTTGAGCTCTCTTCTCCAACAGTGGCCAGATTTAGGCAGCTTAATTAATTAGCTAGTGTTTATAAAGCGTTTGAAGAATTTTAAAAGTGCCACGTAAGTGCCAAATATTATTTTAATCCGTGTGTGTGTGTGTGTGTGTGTGTGTGTGTATTTCTTTTTATTTCTCCCGCAGAGAGAATTTTTCTCCCACCCCCCCAACTTGCTTTTCTTTTTCTCTGCAGGTTCTGTTCTGGGAATAGGGCTTGTTAAAACTCACTCCTGCAGTTCTGGGCCTGGGGACAGTGTGCTGGCCTGGCTGACAAAGCCATCCCTGGCTCTCTCCTGCCCTCCTGGCAGAGACAGTGGCTGTCCAGGGGCCTCAGTGGGCGCTGGGACAGGAGGCCGGCTGGGCAGATCGTCCCCCGCACTGCTGGTGGGAGTGTGCAATTGGAAAATCCTTCCAGAAAAGCAGGATGGGCAGGATGGACCAAAGGTGTGAAAGTGACCAAGCAGCCCTGGGTGGGCGCCTGGGCAGGGGCAGAAACCCTAGGATGGAATACAGTTCCTGCAGAAAGATCCGGAATATTCTGAGGAATCTCCCCGGCTTTGGGGAGATTCCTAAGTTAGGGGAATTATGGTCGATCCCGTCCATCGAATGAGAGGCAGCCACAGACAAGCAGGACCCTGAAAATGGCAGAGATCTGGCCACGTCTGCATGGCATCATGTCAAAGGAGACCGTGACTATGCAAATAATCACCCGTTCCTCACAGCATCAAGAGAAAATGAGAAAGTCAAAGCACAATCATCATTTCACTGGTGACCATCAAAAATTGTTCATGAGGAACTGAAGAAAGAATGTAAAGCCATGCTCAGACCACGAGGGAGCTGGGCACACATCTCGTCAAAAAGAAGGAACTGGAGAGTTTCCAGCGTCCGCAGAAAGAGGTCTGTTTGGTGGCACGAAGGCCAACCCTAAGGACGTTCACATCCACAGAGCTGATGGTGCAGAATGACAATTCCTGATGCAGAAATACCTTCGAGATGAGAGTCAGTTATTCAGGGACAGATTCGGGGTGGCCCCAAACTGGTCGTGTGGAAAACAATGGACACGTGCTGTTAAATATTCCCAGTGATTAATTGTGAGTCACAGATTTATAAGGGTTTCACTTTTATGTTTTCTGTTTGCATTACTTGTGCCATAAAGAAGAAGGAAAAACTGCTTTGGGGATTATCGTGACTTTTATAAAATAAAATAAAACTATATACAAATAAACAACTTCAAGGTACTGTGCAGGGCTATAAAACCGTGACTCTTTTCTGGCTCGTGAATCCAAAAGTGATACATCTTTCCTTTTTTTTTTCTATTTTGGATATTTTTCAGATTTTATAAATGGAGTGTATGTTAAAGAACACAGTTTTTTGAATTCTAAATTTTACGAGACATCTGTACATATGATATGTATGTTTTGCCCATGTTTACTGTGTTTACTGCCCACCCCCCAACCCTGGGAATTTTGTCTGTCTCCCTATTTTCCCAGTCTCAGATACAGTGGTTGCATAATAACAGATGCTCAATAAGTATTTGCTAATTGACCAATGGGTCGAAGATCCAGAGAAAAAGTATACAATGATAGGCACCATGTGTGGGTAATGGGTCCCTGGTTGGCAGGGGCAGAGACAGACACAGTTTTTCTTTGCTTTATAATAAACAATGCATTGAAGGTTTTACTTTGGGGGCCTCCCAATTGCTGCTCTGAGGGTCTGGGGGCCACCCCCGGTGATACTCAGTCAACCAGACCATTTGAACTTACCACTGAACCAGACCATTGAACTTACCATTGGAAAGTTCAATGCCAGAACCTGAAGGTGTGGTGACTATAGACCCTGTGGTACTTTGGGACACAGAGACATCCAGGAGCATTCCTGCTCTGCTAAGGGTGGGTATTGGGGTACTGAGGATACAACTTGGGTCCCTGTATGCATCTTTGACCACTGAACAATCCCTGCCACAGAACCATCCCTGACCACTGAGTCATCCCTGAACAGAACCATCCCTGGCCACATCCCTGAACTACCTGACCACTGAACCATCCCTGCCATGGAACCATCCCTGACCACTGAACCATCCCTACCACGGAATCATCCCTGATCACTGAACCATCCCTGCTACGGAATCATACCTGACCACTGAACCATCCCTGCCACGGAATCATACCTGACCATTGAACCATCCCTGTCACGGAATCATCCCTGTCATAGAATCATCCCTGGCCATTGAACCATCCCTGACCATTGAACCATCCCTGACCACTGAACCATCCCTGCCATGGGACCATCCCTGAACAACCGAGCCATCCCTGCCACTGAACCATCTCTAACCACCATATCCCTGGCCCCAAAGCTTTCATTTTAATTTCATTTTTGCAGGGAACACTTGCTGCTTTGAGGTGAGAATGAATGAACTGAAACCCATGAATGAGTTTTGAGTGGGAGGAGTGAA